AGTTAAGGAAATGTGGACAAGACACTTTTTATTAAGAAAGAAAACACTGATACATTAATTGTGCAAATCTATGTGGACGACATAGCTTTCTGATCAACTAATCCACCTATGAGCACCAAATTCTGTGAAACAATGAAATCTGAGTTTGAGATGAGCATGATGGGTGAGTTATCTCATTTTCTAGGGATACAGATCAATCAATCAAACTCAGGAATATTCATCGGTCAAACTAGTTACACTGAATCAATACTTAAGAAATTTGACATGAATTCAGTTAATGCTAATACAACTCCCATGGCCACTAATCTAAAGTTAGACAAGGATGAGGGAGGTATCCCCTTCTGTGAAAGAAAATAAAGAGGTATGATAGGATCTCTCCTATACTTAACAGCCAATCGACCGGATATCCAATTTAGTGTAGGGCTGTGTGCTAGATTTCAATCGAGTCCTAAAGAAAGTCACTTTCAAAGTTGTTAAAAGAATTTTTAGGTACCTTAACGGAACTATAGATATTGGATTATGGTATCCTATGACCAACTCGTTTGAATTAATCGGCTATAGTGACTCAGATTTTGGAGGAAGTCTAGTAGATAGAAAAAGCACTTCAGGAACAGTTCAACTTCTTGGTCCATCACTTGTGTCCTGGTTTAGCAAAAAATAAAGGCGCAGTAGCACTCTCTACAGCCGAAGCAGAATATATGGCTGCTGGGAGTTGCTGTGCTCAAATAATGTGGATGAAAGCACAATTATCAGACTATGGTTTCAAACTAAAAGAAATTCAGGTGTGCTGTGATAACACTAGTGCAATAAGTATGACAAAAAATCCACTTCAACACTCAAGAACCAAGCACATTGAAATAAAATATCATTTTATAAGGGAACTTGTTCAAGCTTGTCATATTGAATTACAATTTGTGGCAACTGAATATCAATTGGCTGATCTGCTAACAAAACCCCTGGCCAGTGAGCGATTTCTTCGGCTCTGCTAAGAATTAGGCTTAAAATCCTTAAGTCAGATTAAAAATCTTCAAAGCTAAGTGTCTCATTGGGCTTTCTATCTTGCATGCATTGGTTCAACAAGTCATGATTGTGATTAGATCTAGTAAAAATAAAAATAAAGGAGATGATTGTGTCCTTCCTTCTCAGAACTTTTTGCGTGTCTTGGTTTAACAAAATAAATCCTCTTTTCGGCTCATGCTTGCCTCGACTAATACGTGCGTTCTTTTTCATAATCATTGCACTTTTATCTTTGCTTGCGGGAAACTCTTCCTCTTCTCCTCTTCGTTCACTTTTCCTCTCTATATAAACTCAGTTATCCATCAACCCATTTCCACACTGCTCTACAAGAAAACAAACCTTCCTTACCAAACTCAGAGAAAGAAATAAGAAACATCAGCTTCTGGAAACATGAGTGATCATATTCCACGTCCTTATCGCTTCGATGGTTTGGTCCACACATACTCTGGATATATGTTCCATGAGCCATTAGTGATCAATCATCATTGCTATCTGCAGCATTTTGACAAAAGGAGGCTGCATCATATCACTCAACTCGATCCATACGAGTTCAATCTCTACAAATATGATATCATCTCCTAGAAGGTCTGGGCTGGGATTTTCTTCTTCGCCAGCCAGTGCACCCTGCCTGCCTTGGTGTAGTAAAATACTTTTACTCCAACCTCAAGAGCATGGGAGTAAGCTCTAGAAGCTTCACTACTCTTGTGTATGGTCATCTCTTGACCATACCTGTCGATGCTATCAATGGTATCCTTGGATTTCCTTCCCAAGGACTTAGTTTAGCTCATCCCTCTGAATTCTGGAAACATGAATTCAAGGTTGAAGTGGAATATGGAAACTTCTCTACTGAGCCAACTGGGGGCTCGGATGTCCCTATACCTGTCTCTTGGTTGCCTCCTCGACTGAGAATATTTCATCATTTTCTCACTCATGTTCTCTTCCCACGATCCTTCAATCAGGATTGAGTCCTTCACATGGATCTGTGGATCATTGCCAGTGCAACTGCAAGACGCAAGTTGGACTATTCAAGCATTGTGTTTGGCCAACTCCTCCCAGTTGGAGATGAAAACTATAGAGGGATGGTGCCATTTGGGTCCCTAATTACCCGCTTACTGATCAACCTCGGGGTAGATCTTTCTGAGTTTCGCAGCATCTCCTCTACCATGTACATTAGTGCCCTAAATGTGCTGATGGTGCTGGATTTACCCACTGCTATTTCTCCTCCCCCTCGACCTTCTGCCTCTCTTCTTGGACCTCCTCCTAAGCCCTCTGCTGTCAGAAAGACCAAGTCTGTGGGAGAACCCAGCAAACCTGGAGATCTGGTCTTCACCATCTCTGAAGGAAATTCTTCCTCAGATGACTCTGCTGCTACAGCTCCTGCCTCCTCTCCTGCCTCTTAATTTCTCTGGTTGTCGTTAAGTTTTTTTTATGCTATCCTGTTGGTAGGATATGTGTGCATCTAGTTAGGGGGAGTCTAGTTAGGATTCTGTTTTGGGGAAATATGTTCAGGGGGAATTCTGCTAAGGACTCTGTTCTGTTATTTTGTATTGATGTCCTTTATCTGGACATGCCAACTGTTGTACCCCTATCTTTTGCTAATCAATGAACTGCATATTTTCCTCGAGATTCTTGTACTGTTGTGTCCTCTTGTCCTGTTTTGTAGGTACTTCTCGGACGAAGGGGGAAATTGTTGCCCCGAAACAATGTCGTTTCACGAAGCACCTCGCAACGATATTGTTCCATGAAGCAACGTTGCTGTTTCACGAAGCACCTCGCAACGATACCGTTTTGTTGTATCATCCTTCGAAGTCTGCCACATCCGTTGAAGAGAGGACTCCTCGAATGATGATCTTCCCTTTGATCTCCTCTCTCGATCGTCCTCTCTCAGAAGAAGCTTCAGCTTTCTCGAGCCTGCTCCACCTAGCACCGTCTCTATCTTGGTTAATGATGAAGACTATGGAAGGCTCCTGATTAGGCAACGGTCGTCTTCTAACCAGCACTATAAATTGTAAGCCTTCTGCTCAGTAGCAAATTGGCAATCTGTAGTGAGAGCTTTTGGTCTTAAACTCTTATATTTTGGGTCCATGAATGTAACTACTTCAGTAGATTGAATCACAGTGTATGGGAGTGTACTGGGTGATTCGAATCTTGGAAAGTAGGAGTGTTGAGTGTTTGTTTTTTAAAGAGCCAAGTTACTTGGCTTGGCTAGGGTTCATTGTGTAGTCTGTTCTCTATTTGCAAAATCAATAAAATTATTTTTCCTTTCTTTACAAGAGATCATTTTAGCAAAGATATAATCAGAATCTCTTGTTGAGTGCATCTCACATTTTGAGTTTTCAGGATCCGTGCTCGCTCCGTCACTAGAAGGGATAAAGCATGTCAAGTCGGAACAAGGGTAAATACTCACCAAGCCTTTTCTGGATGTCTGCAAATTGATCCTCCCCGTAATCGGTCAGTTCTTCGAGAATAATTGTGAAATTGGAGATGGGCTAAGATTCAAATTTGTTTCGTGGGGTTGATAGTTGATAGATAGAACTGTAGTTGGTTCTTAATTTTTATAATTTATAATTACATTTTTATTTTTTTAATAGTTAGAAATGAGGTGGAAATTTTAAAATATAAAATTTTATTTATTTAATTATTTTTTAATTGCCATGTCACACATTTAACGGTCAACTTTTAGAGTTGACTGCCACATAAGCAAAAGTTAACGGAGTTGGACGGAGAGTGACCAAACGTGAACGGTTTCAGTAAATTGAAGTAGCACCAATGGATTTAAATATTTCGAGTGACCAAACTTGAAATTTTTTCGTAATCTCAGTGACCAACAATGCAATTAACCATATAAAGATAAATATGGCGCTATGACGAAAAATAGGTTCGCAGAATCACTCTCGGGCCACGAAATTTAAAAGGAGACTCTCATTTTCCAATTTTATCATTATATTATGTGTAGATTTGGTAAAAAAAATGACTATACTCGTTACAAAGGTCCATGTTTTGTTTAAACTTCTGTATTTTGTCTAAACTAAACTAAACTACACATACAATTTAATATTAATGTTTGAATCAATGTTACTTGATTTCATAACTAATGTCTTTCTATAAAATATATATACTTAAGATAAACTATAAATATAGAAGCATCATCACCAAACATATTCCTAGAGTTTAATAAAAAAAATAACAATAAACATAATGTAGTCTAGTTGGTTATAATGCTTTTTCTTCATTTAAGTGACTAGAGTTCAAACTCCAATAATTACATTTTTAATATGTAAAGATGAAGTGAATATATCTTTATTTAAGTGACCAGAGTTTGAATGGATCCTCTGAATTCTCTGAACCCTTTGAGCCACTCGCTGGCGGAAGAGGTGCTCTCCCCCGGGCGTCCGCCGGATGAAACAACTCCTACTTCTGGCCAGAATGGGGGTCCCTTGAATACTCCCCCTAATCTATAGACTGGTGAGCAGATGGTTGTGGTTCCGTCGAGTGCCGAGGTGATGATTGTGGATACTCCTGCCAAGGAGCCTCAGCCGGCACAAATCGTTGTATCCCCACCTCCGTCCTACGCCAATGCAATAACAGGACTAAGCTCCGATGGTGGTAAAGCGATAAGTGCCTGGACTCCCGTTGGGGAACACGATCTCATCAAAGGACTCTACAATGGGGAACCGGAATTAAAAGTCTCCTCGGCCTTCAAGGAGAAACTTTGTGTCCCCTGGAAGCGTACGCTAGTGGTGCAAACTCTAGGTTTTGATATTTCTTTTCTCACTTTCAGCAACAAGATCAAGGCACATTGGAGACCAACAGGCTCTCTAGAAGTCATGGCTTTGGGGAAACGGTGTTTCTTGGTGAAGCTCAGTAATGACTCCGATTACTTCAGGGTTCTTACCGAAGGACCCTGGGTTATTTTTTATCACTACTTAGTGGTTCAAAAATGGACGCCATCGTTCCGACTGTCCGAGAAGCTACCAAAATCTATGGTGGTCTGGGTGCAGTTTCCGCCCTTTCCGGTGCACTTCTACCACAAGGAAATCCTCTTCTCGTTAGGGAACATGTTAGGTCGGGCTATCAAACTGGATTATCACACTCTTCATCAACAACGTGCCAAGTTTGCTCGTATCGCTGTGGAAATTGACCTCTCGAAGCCTCTGGTCACGCGCATCAGATTGGACGGCCAATGGCAATATGTCGAATACGAGAACTTACCAACAGTGTGTTTCGAATGTGGTAGAATTGGTCACTTGGGAGAAAGCTGCCCATCTCTCACACCCCCAGTACAACTTATCACGGCCGGTCCATTGACGAACTCGTCGGAAACCTCCGGGAACGAAGAGGCGGAAGAGCGAACTGGCTACGACCCATGGATGCAGGTCACCCGACGATCACGGCGAGGAAACCGGGGCACCGAAAATGGAAACTCCAATAAGAAAATGGGAGACTCGCAAATCAGTGGTGGAGTTGGGAAAGGAAAGAACAATTAGAGCAGGGCAACGGTTGGATTTGGCTAATAAAGGAAATCTGGAGCAAGGCAAGTCTTCTGTGGCACCACAAAAAGGGAAAGAAAAAGGGAAGGAAAAGGTTGGGTCGAGTGTCCTTGGGCCTGTTTTGGGTGGAAGTGGGATTCTTGGGCTTCATCCCCAGCGGGCTTCTACCTCTAAGGTGCAGCCCGGAAGAGTGCAAAATCAAATTTCTCAAGACAATGGGTCTCCTTCTGCCGGTTTGAACGGGTCAGGCTCTACTTCTACGTCTGTGCAGGCCAGAGACAAGGCCCCCCTTCCCATCCCACCCCTACTCTCCTTGTTCCTGTTCCAAACGATACATCCATCCAAATCGTTTCCGTCCCAGAGTACTCTTCAACCCAGGCAGTCGGGAAGAGGAACGAGAAACCTTCGGCGGCGAGTCGGACTAAGAGCCAGAAGAGCAAAAATTATAAGAAAATCAAAACGCCAACGAAGTCCCCCAAACCGATTACGACGAAAGCGCTCCAGATTTGGACTCCAATTAAGGAGAGAAAGAGCAAGACCAGAAACCGCATGGCAACTCTGACTCTTCAGGAGATCGCGGCTTGGACGAGTGCTGCTAAGATATCGCAGGAGTCAGGCAGCTTGGAGAATCAGCCACGACCGGCCATTGTTGATGAAACGGATACAGATGGCGGGACTCCGAGTCTGGCCGCTCCTATCTAGAGCTCCTCTGGACCTTCTTTCTCCTTCTTCTTTCTTTTCTTCATCTTTATCTTTTTGCTGTTTTATTATGTCTGTTGCCATTAAGAATTTTAAATGCCTCGCTTGGAATGTAGGTGGAGCAGGGAGTGCTGCTTTTATCAGATCCCTCAAGCTGCTGGTGCAAAATCACAATCCTGATTTTTTGATTCTCTTGGAGCCCAAAATTAGCGGGAATGTTGCAAACAACATCTGTGGCAAGGTGGGCTTCCCCAACATTATGCGTATTGAGGCTAATGGTAGGAAGGGAGGCATCTGGTTATGCTGGAATGCCACCTTTTTCCACATTGAACCTGTGTCGGCATGCTTCCAGCATCTCACAGTTAAGGTGTCGGCTTACTAGTCATCCCCTTGGCTTCTCACTTCGGTTTATGCGAGCCCCCAGCAATCTCTCCAACGCCACCTGTGGGAAGCTATCTTCAAGAACCAAGAGATTTGTGATCTTCCCTGGCTTCTCACGGGCGATTTCAACGCCATCAGAACACCTGCTGAGCAATCTGGTCAGGCGTCCTCTGCTGTTTTGAGACGCTGCAAACGCTTCAATGAAAGGATCAACCAAGCCAAACTCATAGATCTGTGCTTCTCGGGGCCTCGTTTTACCTGGATGAGAGGTGATCAGGCTAGCACAGTCAAAGCTAGTCGCATTGATAGAAGCTTCTGCAACGCGGCTTGGAATGAGCTGGGATCCAATACATATGTGCAGCACCTGCCTCGCCTTCACTCCGACCACCACCCTATTCTTACCACGCATGGAAACCAGGGAGTCCTCTCTCCTGCTGCTCGTCCTTTTCGCTTTGAGGGAGCTTGGCTTACTCACGCTTCTTATGATGATATGTTGGCAGGTAATTGGGATCAGCAGGCGCCCCTCCATGAAGCTCTCCATGCCATGCGGAGAAGCTAAACCAATGGAATCGTACCATGTTCGGCAATGTTCTTCACCGCAAGAGAAGACTAATGAGCCGCATACAGGGCATCCAAAGCAAAGTAGCTGCTGCCTTTTCGCCTGGTCTCTTCAAACTCCAAATGAAGCTCGAAAAGGAGCTGGACTTGGTGCTCGAACAAGAAGAGCTCGTATGGTTTCAAAGAGCCAGAGAAAAGTGGGTTCAGTTCGGCGAGAAGAACACCTCTTACTTCCACCACCAAGCCAATGTTCGGCGTCGTCGAAATAAGATTGAAAGCCTTAAGAACAACAGTGGTGAATGGATTTCGGATCCTGAGGAGCTTGCTGCTCTGGTTTTTGGTTTTGTGTCTTCTCTTTACCTGCAGGATAGTCAAGACTACACCGACTGTATGCCGAAGCATTGTTTCCAAAGGCTATCTAATGAGGAGCTACTGCAACTTCTTCGGCCTTTCATTGGAGCAGATATCTTCAGGGCCATTCAAGAGATGAAATCTTTCCAAGCATCGGGGCCTGACGGTTTTCATGCTGCTTTCTTCCAACGATCCTGGCGGGTGGTGGGTAAGGCCTTAATTGACTTGGCTATGAATTTTTTTGCCACAGGCCTTCTTCCTGAGACAGTGACAGAGTCGACAATAGTTCTCATCCCGAAAGTGGAGCACCCTGAGATGGCATCCCAGCTCAGACCGATATCGCTTAACAATGTGTGCCTTAAAGCTATTACCAAGGCTATCAGGCCGCCAAACAACTGATAACATCATTGTGCTTCAGGAGGTTCTTCACTCCCTCCGGAAGAAAAAAGGCAAGAGAGGCGGGATTGTGCTTAAGATCGATTTAGAAAAGGCCTATGATCGCCTTCGTTGGGATTTCCTCCGAGATACCCTCATAGAGATCGGACTACCTAGCTCCTGGGTGAAGTGTATCATGTTCTGTGTCGAGAGCAACCGGATGCGCATCTTATGGAACGGGGAGCTGTCTGCTGCTATCACACCTACCAGAGGTGTCCGCCAGGGAGACCCTCTTTCTCCTTATCTCTTTGTTTTGTGTATAGAGCGCCTTTCACACAGGATTGACCAGGCCATCGAGGATAAGCTTTGGAAACCCCTGAAATTATCCCCGAATGGCCCTCCCCTGTCTCATCTTTTCTTTGCAGACGACCTTATTCTGTTTGCAGAGGCGAGGAGTGACCAGCTGAAAATCATAAGGAGATGCCTTGATGAATTCTGTAGTAGCTCGGGGCAGAGAGTCAATTATAGCAAGTCAGCCATCTTTCTTTCGCCCAACATCAGCAGACGCATAGCAAGACGTTTGGCAAGCAAGGTTGATGTTCCCTAACGGTTGATCTTGGCCGGTACCTGGGCGTGATGGCGATCCATGGACGGGTGACAAAGACGCGTTACCAAGATTTAGTCCTCAGGATTCAGAGGAAATTGGCCCCATGGAAAGCTAAGCACCTCTCCCTTGCCTCACGTATTACTATTGTTAAATCCATTGCAGCTTCTATTCCTGTGTATCCTATGCAGACAGAACTCTTGCTGGCCAATGTCTGCAATTCACTAGATCAAATCAATAGGGGGCTTCATTTGGGGTGATACTGAGGAAAAGCAGAAGATGCATCTAGCAGGATGGCCCCAGCTAGTTCTCCCCAAGGCCAATGGAGGGCTTGGGCTACGTCCGACGAGAGAAATGAATTTGGCTATGCTAACGAAGGGTTGTTGGCGCATTCTGCAGGATAAAGAGGCTCTTTGGGTCCAGCTGGTGTGCGCCAAGTATGGGAAAGGGCGAGAGGACCTTGAGCTGCTCAAGCGAGTTCAGGGAAGTTCCTTTACCTGGCGTAGTCTTTCCAAGGCCTCATCTTTGGTTAAACAGGGATGTGCCTGGAATATTCATAACGGGAAACATGCTAAATTTTGGACTGACGTGTGGGTTTCGCAGGTTCCTTTCCAAGACATGGCCACGGGACCGATCCTGATGGAAGACCAAGGAGCTAGGGTAGCTGATTTCATTGATGACGATGGGCGCTGGAAGACCAAGAAGTTTGAGGGTCTGCTGCCTGCGGAAGTGCAGCATCAAATTACAGCAACCGCAATCGATCACCTTGCTGCTGAGAAGGATAATTTGCTTTGGAAGCCGGCCTCGGATGGGAAGTTCTCTACGAAGACCGCTTTTCACGTGTTGAGACCTCCCCCTGGTGACATGAATCAACAATGGTGGAAAGGAATCTGGAAGCTCCCGGTCTCAGAGCGGATTCGGTGTTTCATTTGGCTGGTGGCGCATGGGAGGATAAACTGCAACAACCAAAGAATGAGGAGACATGTGACGCAGAATCCTTACTGCTACAGATGCCCTACGCAACGAGAGACCATCTCTCACATCTTCAGAGAGTGTCCCCCTGCGGTTTTCCTTTGGGCACGGAATGTACAGCCTGAGCTGCAGGCAGAGTTCTTCAGCCTTCCTGTTGAGCTGTGGTTGAGGAAGAATCTCTCTTGTGAAGACAGCTCCCCCTCAGGCGCTCCTTGGAATGCTTTTTTCAGCATCGCCTTCTGGGGCATTTGGAAGAATAGAAATGAAGGATGCTTCGGTGGGATGACCAAGACTCTTTCTCCCCCGTCCCTCAACCAAGCAATTAAGATCAAAGCTTGCCTGTGGCACCAAGCATGGACAACGCCAATTGCTATTCCGGGACGGCTCGCTGCCCCTATTTCGCGTACTTTGGTTGCGATTGGGTGGAAGCCCCCTCCCTCAGGTTGGGTGAAACTCAATGTGGATGGTGCATCTGGAGGTACCCAAGGCCTTGCAGGCGCTTGTGGAGTGCTACGGGATGCTGACAAGAATTGGTTGGGAGGTTTTATCGCTAGCCTAGGAACTTGCTCAGCTACGATGGCAGAGTTATGGGCGATTTATCATGGGCTTGAGTTGGCCTGGAACAAAGGCCACAGATTGATCATTGTAGAATCGGACTCCCAAACGGCCATTCAGCTGATCACGAACAGGTTAGACCCTATTCACCCGTGTGCTACTCTTCTGGCTGCTATTAGGCGCAGGTTAGCTCAGGATTGGGTGGTGAATCTAGTTCATACCTACCGGGAGGGGAATAGGGTCGCGGACTGACTCTCGAAGCACAGTCTCGTCTATCCCTATGGTAGATATGAACTGGAGACTCCACCTGATGGGTTACACTCTCTTCTCCTAGACGACTCCAGAGGCGCTACTATTGATAGAAACATTGTCCTTCCTCCTCCAGACAGTTTGGCTTAGCTCTTCCTCTCCCCTATGTTTGCTTTTCTTTTCTTCGCCCTTGTGCCTCCCTTGTTCCGAAAAAAAAGTGACCAGAGTTTGAACTCCAATGATAACATTTTTAATATAAAGATGAAGTGAGTGTAATAACCAAAATGACCTTCCTTAAAATAACTATCATGCCACAAAATTTGAAATGGGACAATTGTAACCTATGTTTTGCCTCATAGATAACGTGGGTGTACGAGAGAGTTCGCTTAACATAAATTTCTACAGACAAGGTGTATAGTAGCTTCCAAGGCCAGTATCAGTATGGCTGCCCCCCTCTAAAATTGTACAAAAAAAAAAAAAAAATTAGGACAAAACTTCGACAAATCCTACCAGACGTATCTCTTCCATAAAGCCTTACGATTTATTCCTTACAGAAAGTCTATGTTACACGTTTTACTGTCACAACTTCCTGAGCCTTTTGTTGGCACCATCCCTTGTGGAAGAGGAGGATGACAGTACATTGCGGTTCTCGGCCTTGTCTTTGGTAAAAGCCTTCTGGACATCATCCTTAAGCTCCACGTAACGGGTCCACTTCATTCGTTGCTCCTCAGGGGTACCCTCGTCGAGGTAGACCACATCAGGATCCTCCATGAACTTATCAAGGACTTCTGAGCAGTTGGGGAAGAAGCGTCGCCCAGTTTCCACTGTCATGATACGTTAACCATAAAACTCAAATCAGAGATAATAAAACAGATGCCAACTGAAGAACCAAGTGAAGCTGTGAAAGACGCTGATTTTCACCTGTTTTCTTTAGCGCTTCCAACTGGGAAAGAAGTCTTTTCTTCTGCATCGCTGGTGTCTCGTTCAAGTCTACTTCCCTCAGGTTCCCATTGGAACCTTTTGATGCAGCAAGACCAGAAAACTTGGGTGCTGTAACAGCACTTGCAATGTCCATTGCTAGCTTGGCTTCAGTAGGAAAGAACAGCTTTGCAAGTCCCACTGAGAAACGAGCCACACACACAATAAATACAAAATCAGAAATCAGAAGGTGCCTACTTGAATGAAATGCCGCCAACACCAACAATGAACAAGTAAGCCCGTCAATCAACACTCACAGAACAAGATGAAACATGTTTCGAGTCCAACTGTAAATCAAAATATAGCTCAACACTTGTAAATTAGCCATCCACTACTAGAATTCGAACGGGTTAAAGGCAAAATGATTATACCTCTGCTCTCCAGGTAGGACAGCTTCATTTGAAGATCCTCATCATGTGTATGGGGAGTTGCCGTACCATCCACACCCATAGGCGTCCTCCTCATCTCCCTCTCTAGAACTTCAATGCATAGCTTGTCCTTATTTGCCGCCTGACCCTGTTCTGCTTTCGAATGATAATCTTTGGGCCTAGTCGATCTCTTACAAATGCTAACAGCAGTTTGCCCATCTCTTGTGGCATCTGAAGCTGAAGCCCCCTTCTCCAACAATGACACCAGAACAGATGGCTCCCTCCTCATCGCAGCAATGTGAAGAACCGTGTAACCTCTGGAATTCCTAAGGTTCACATCAGCAAGACGAAGGTTAAGCACCTCCTGGACAACCTTGGGGTCACAGTATGCTGCTGCATAATGGAGAGCATAAGCATCATCTAAAGTCACATTAGATTCTGTCAGGAGAAGTTTCACAAGTTCCACATCATCCGAGTCTAACGCCTTGTGTATTCTTTTGATTCTCTTTGCAAGCAAGCGGTCCTCCTCAACATCCATGCTTTCTTCGTCATCGGAGACGGGCTTGCGGCGGATCAGTTTAACATTCTCAGCCACCTCAAAGGGCAGCTCCTTTTCAATGCTGACGTCATCTACGTCTGATCGTGCTATTCTGTCCACACATTGATCAACGAGCTGAGTTGACTGACAATGGAATGCAACCACAAGGATTGGGATAACATCTTCAACAAGAGCCTTGTCAACAAAGTTATGAAGGCGCCTCTGCGAAAATATGTAAGTAGGGCTTCATGTGAGCAAAGACTGGAATTTTCATGACATTTTTACCAATCATCTAGGCACAACACTCAGCAAGGTTACATGAAGTTGAGCACTAGGGACTAGCAGCTAGATATGGTAAACAGCATGCCAATAAGCTTTCATGAAACATTAGTAGATCACTGACCTGGAAGAGTGAAACCAGCTCCGGTAATTGAAAGATGGACGAGGCATACATCAACTCCACAGCAAAATTAATTGCAGGTCGACACGCATCATGAGCACAGTCAGTATGGACACAGGTTGAAACCTCCATCGGAAACGGCTTAAGTTTCCCAGTATACAAGTAGCTCAAGAAAATCAGGAAGGCTTCATGTCCAATCTTCCCATAAGGTAACAGGTCATCCATAGTATACTTGGGTTTCCCTTTCCCTTCCTTCTCCGAAGATCCTTTATCCCGCTTAAACAAATCATGGAAGAACTTACTCCTCACAGAAAGAATACATCGGTGAACACCAACCGGTTTCCCCTCAACAACTATTTCAGCATCACTAAAATTACTAGCGGTATCTGTCAAAAGAGACTCTAAGTTGAAGCTAAGTTTGGTCAAGCTCCGCACATCGAGACTTGGAGCTGTTTCAGAGACAGGCGAGGTGGACAAGTTGTTGTGACCAATTGAGCCGTTCGACAGGTGAGATGACGATGTGAAGCTCAAAGACGACGACGGCTCAGACAAATTCGCCATTTAATTCACAAAACCAACTGCCTATTGAGAATCACTACTGCATACCTCACCTTACTACCCACCCGACTTCCTTCTCTACAATCCTTATTCCAAAAAAGATGAACAAACTAAGATTTACATGTATACGGTATCAAAGTGAAAGAAACTTGTATTTCAAATAGGACCCAAAAGAGTTAAGAACAAAAAGATGAGAGCTTCTCAGACTACTGAAGATGGTTAGTGGGGAACCAGCAGCATACCCATCCAAGAAGTCAACGGCGAAGCTATTAAAATGGTGGGTTCCTTCCAGGTTCGTGGAAAAAGGGCAGGCAGCCCAGTTAGGAAACCGCAGGGGAATTACCTCCGAAAGCCGGGAGGTGGAGAGTCAAGAACATTGAATGACCCACTATAATTTGTCGTCATCATCCAAACACGGCACGCACCGCAACCCGGAAACCGAGGCCGCGAACTTTGTTGCTTGAATTTCCAAGACCACCAAGTCAACATAGTCCGTTGACAATCCACCCCAATTCATCAAAGGAGCTGAGACAACAGCTACATCACTTTCAGCTAAATATGTGCAGAGAGTGTTTGTGGTGAAGTTGAGGAAGCAGAAATCAGTAGCGACCAGGAGAAGAGCGAGCTACATAATCGGAATTGGGAAGCGAAACTTCAGATCTATTGCGGATTGGGTAGGAAAACAGAGACTGACTGACAAAGAGAATGGAAAGGGATCCAAGTGAGAATCAAACAGCAGCAATGGAAACCAGAAAGGGATAGAGATGAAAGTGGAGAAACAAAACAGAGGGAGGAGAGAGAAAACAAAAAAGGAAAACGAAGGGACAGAGGTGTGGGGCAACTAGATTGAAGAACACATGGTTAACGTGAGAAGAGAAAGCATCGGAAGCTTCATCTTTCGCTTTCCATGCTGCGCGGCAAACCAGGGAGAGGTAGCTGAGTGGTAAATGGGGGAAGGAGGGAATCAGGGGAAAGAAGGGACGGAAGGCCAGGCAGGGGGGAGAAGAAAGGAAAAGGGAAGAGAAAGAGAAAGAGGCGGTGGCGGGTGACGGAGGGAGAGGGTGAAGTCGTTTGGGTGACGGTGGCGTTGCCGTCAGCAACGCTAGCCGTGTTCGGTTGACGCAACCAATGACGGCATCGTTGTTCGATTATCAAACTACACGTCCCCTCACCCACCTTGGGCCCAGTGAGTGACAGAGGCTCCATGGGCCCACCATACATTTCTCAACCGTAGCAAATGCAACGGACGGCCCACCATCCACGAGTTGGTAAAGCATCTTGTGGATGCGGCTATATCTTCAAGTCGAGCACAAAGATAGGCACCGGCGGATTTAGAAATTTTACTTCCTTTTTCAAAAATTAAATTAATACTAAAATTAAATATGAATATCCGATTATAGTAAAAGTTACAACAAAAGGTCACATATGTTTTGCATTACGAAAGAATGGTAAATACATTATGTTTCTACACTGCTCAACAAATATCTCTTGACATATAGTAGACAAGGGTAACCCGTAATTGGTTTAATCGTTATGTATAGAGAATAATTGATGATCAGAATAGCATTTTACTATTATATTTTGATCTAAAATATAACAACAAATGAGTTGTAGTCTAACTGAAAATATATTTACCAATAGTAGCAGTGTCCAAGTTCAAATCACATAGAGTATCACCTAAATATTATTTGTACCCACATGCAAACTACCACTATGAGGTTGGATAATAATTTGGGTAAATACAATATATTAGCCATAACTATTAAGCAACGGGGAATTATATCCATAACTATCGAAATACAAATTATTAGCCATAACTATTGTTGCGGGTCAAGATTTGGCTAACAGCCCGTTCCTGTTTTCAAATTTTTAACGGAGAAGGCCATGTCATCATCGTAAAAAACTATGATATGGTGACTGCCACGTGGGAGCCAGCTCAGCATCATAAAAGTTTAGTCATCATTACTAACAGAAGTGTTACGAAAACTTAATGGTTGGCTAATAATTTGTATTTCGATAGTTGTGGCTATAATTCCCCGCTACTTAATAGTTATGGCTAATATATTGTATTAACCCTAATAATTTCCCCAAATTTTAAGGGTGTCCCGCTATCACTTAAAGGTTTTTTTACCTATACGCAAACTACTATCGAAAGTTGGATAATCGTTCTTCCAAATTTTAGGGGTGTCCCGGGACACCCCTAAACCTTCATGCATCCGCCACTGAGGATAGGGATCACCACGTGTTGAGGGCGGATCAGGTGACTAAGCGGGGTGTTTAGTCACTTCACTAAGATCATCTTCATCCCTAAAGTTGGTTAACAATTTCTAAATGTGGTCCCTACATCCACATCATCAATTTTAGCAATTCACCACTTCACAGTTTTTAGTCATCTACATCCCTAAACTATGTTAGCAATTTCTAATGTGGACCCCATCTATTATTTTAACCAACCTCAACACATTGAAATTGAAAAGTTAGTAAGTAAGAAAAATAAAAAAGACAACAATTACCTATGTTGCATTGCTAGAAGACTTTCTAATTTAGCAATCTTGTTATATTAGAAAGTACTCTCACATCCCTAGCAATTGCTAGAAAAATGTCATATAAGCTCCACCTCACTTTACCAATTGCTAAAGTTTCGGGATGGAGATGGTCTAAGCCCCTCCCAGGTCTTAGATCTGTACACAGTGATCCAACGGTTAAAAAATGGGAAGAACTTTTTAATTACTGACTGTGGTAGTTTGGGTATTATGAAAAATTATGAAGCATAGAAAACGGACTTACAAATAGTACAAACCATACAAACAATACAAACTAGAACGACAAAACATACAAACAGATTTACGAACAATACAAAACATACGAACTATACAAACAATACAAAGTAGACCAACAATCAATACAAACAAAAAAAAAAATGAAAAAACAATCAGGTTGACTTTGGAGACTCCAACCCTATATAGAGGGGCACCGTCCCAAAGTCAACCCGATTGTTTTCTAGACATACAAACATTACAAACATGGTGGACAAAAATTACAAAGTAGACCGACAAACCATACGAAATGGAAAAACACTCAGGTTAACTTTGGAGGTTTCATCTCTATATAGAAGAGTTCTGTCCAAAAGTCAACAAGGTTGTTTTTTAGACATAAAAAACATTACAAACATGGTTGACAAAAATGACAAACATGGTGGACAAAAATAACAAATCTTACAAACTTTACAAAAGGAACCAATAAACATTACAAAAATAACAAAACTTACAAACATTACAAAACACATTGACAAACAGTACAAAACATACTAACAGTACAAAATGCTACTACTTACAATACAAAATAGTACACTTGTATTACAAATCAATGAATACAAATTATACAAATCACAACATAAAGTATACAAAGTAGACAAACAAACATTACGATTTACAATATATACAAATTAGTCATATAAACATTACAAACATAATAGATAAAAGGGTAATGTGCATTTTTTTATCCAAACCTTTTTTAGATTCTTTTATATTATCCAAACCTATCGAAATACTAAGAATTAACCAAATGTTAACTTTCAGTTAGCAATTTTGTTAGTAATATAGACTTGGCAACATGATACTGATTTGGAAGAGACACATGAAGGTCAACATTCCAAAATTTTAGTATTTTAACTAATAAAAGAGTTACAAAATTATTAACGATAATGTAAAAATGACTAATATTTTGATGCATTAAAGATTTGGCTAATTAATAGCATTTTAATAGGTTTGGATAAATAAAAGAATATGAAAATGTTTGGATAAAAAATAGACATTACCCTAGATAAAATTGACAAACTAGAATGATAACCGATACAAACCGAATCAATACAAACATTACAAACTAGACTTATAAACATTACAAAATATGTTTACAAACATCACAAATCCAACACTATCGCCGGAAAATCATCGGCTTCCGTCTACGGTCACCGAAAACTCATCGCCTGTCGTCTCCGGTCACCGGAGGAGGCTCCTCCGCCATCGTCGGAAATCAATTCTCTTTGTGTGTGTGTGTGTTTGCTGGGTGCAAAAAAAACACTTGGAGGCATAAAATCCCACGTCGATCGCCGAGGAATTTCCCAGAAAAGGCCCAGCCGGGGAGGGCTGAGGAAAAGCCATTATTTTTTTATTTTAATTGTTTAATAAATAAATAGTGTAATTACCACTTTATCCTTCATTAAGCTGAATTAAGTTGAACCATCAGATTTTAATGAGGCTCAATGGCTGAGATTGACTTAGTCATGTGACTAAGGGACCCCCCTTAGTCGCCTGATCTTAGCCCCCAGGAGCTCGAGGCTAGGGGTGGCCGTTCGGTTACCGGTTAACCGGCCGGTTAAACCGATAACCAGTCGGTTATCCACTAACCGATAACCGAAGTAACCGAACTTCGTTCGATTATCGAAAGCTGAATGCAATGGTTTTTGGTCTTAAAAGTGGTTAGGTAACCAATAACCGAGCAACCGAAGCCTATTTCGGTCGGTTTTAAGTATGGGGGGTGGTTATTTCGGTTAACTGATAACCGGCTGATCGGTTACCGGTTATAACCGAAATAACCGAACTGCCACCCCTACTCGAGGCTATGGATAATTTTGGGTCGTTTGGATGGGCGATTGAAGCGAGAGATTTGAAACAATCTAAACTGAGTAATATTGAATAGGGATGGGCATTGGTGTGAACTGCACCGCATATTATTTGGACTATATTGCATATTACACCGCAATTTAATCGGTGTGGTCAAATCGAACCGCTTAGATAAGCGATTTGGTGTGGTCCAAATCCCAATGGAAATTCGACCGCTGGGAAAAATCTACCCTTTAAACCAGTTGGTGCATGTAACAATTCCAGAGGCTTGAGAACTGAGAAGGGGGAAAATAATACACAGGAAAGACTCATGGCATCATATAGAGGCAATCACAGCACGAAAATGTAACTCAACCCAATATGATTTTGACCCCATGTGGTTCTTGCTTCAACTCTTGCTTTCAAGGCAACTGCCCATTTATGGTCATAGACCCAAGATTGGTTAATTGCAAGTTTGGTCACTCGAATTGCTACAAAATTTCACGTTTGCCACTCAAATTAATTTATTCCATTTATAGTCACTTAAATTAGGTTAACAGTCCAAGTTTGGTCACTGGCCGTTAGTCTTCGTTAACTTTTGCTGATGTGGCGGTCAACTCTTATAGTTGACCGTTAAATGCATGACTTGGCAATTAAAAAAATTTAAAAATTCCACCTCAACTATTAAAAAATAATAAAAATTTCACCTCATTTCCACAACAAATTATAAAATAAATAAAAACCTAAAATTATAATTATAATTTTTATTCCCATAACATTCCCCATCCGTTTCTCCACCTGCAAATCTTCATCGTTCCCCCAAAACCACCAAAACGAAGAACCTTCGAGGTCTAGGCCATGTCCGTCGAGAAGCTCCCCTTCGTCCTCCCCGCCACCCATCTTCTCTGCTAGCATCCGCCACCATCTCCACATCGCCAACCTAACCCAATCGAGGACGATTCTTCCTTCGCGCTCGCACATCCGTCCATGGATAACCAAGTGAACGGGATGTCCTTGCTTTGAGATTTGGCCATTTTAGGGGATCAATGTGGAAGCCGGTGTTGGTGGGTTGGGACTCAGAGTGGGCAATTTAGCCTCCGCTGCTGCTGCAATTGGGTTTGAAATTGGACATCCAGATGGGTCTGTTGAGGAATCCTCGGTGACGGACCATCGTGGCGCCGACGCCGCTGGCAATTCAAAGAAGCGGAGGGATTTCAGCTCAAAGGATGAGTCTTCTAGGATGGTTTCTGTCACTTGTAGTGGCAATGAATCGGTCTGTGTTCTGCTAGTCCCTCTCTTAATCTCTTTCTCTCTCTTGTTTATCTTCTTCACAATTTAGCCAATTCCCACTGCTGTTTGACTTTGTTGAGGGAGATCTAGGAGGAAGGACTATTGGTCGTGGAGGGTGACGAGGGAGAGTGCGGAGGGAGAGGTCCGAGTACTTGTGGAGATGAAGGAATTGGGCAAGTGGAAAAGCTTTGTAAGGAGGAGGCAACGGTGACATCGTGACGGCGGAGGAGGAGGGATTCGGGGCTGCGCGGTGTCCTTGCTCAGCATTGGATCATGGGGGAGGGTGAACACGCGCTGGTCCTCGCTTATGACGGCGGGCTGTCCGCGCCGGTGGTGGTCACCATCACCACCACTTCCAATCGGAAGTTCTTGCCGCCGCCTGTCGCCATCCCTTCGTCGCAGCCTAGGATTAGGGATTTGAAGGCTAGAAATCTAGGTCGAGCGATGGTGAGAAAGAGGTAAGGTTAGTTCGTGAGATTTAGGAAATTAAAATAAATAATTTTTTATTTTTAATGATAGTGATAATGAGGTGGAAATTATAAATTTTTTTATTTTTAATTTTTTTATTGCCACTCATACATTTAACGGTCAACTATTAGAGTTGACTGACACATCAGCAAAAGTTAACGGAGACTAACGGCCAGTGACCAAACTTGGACTGTTAACCTAATTTAAGTGACTATAAATGGAATAAATTAATTTGAGTGGCAAACATGAAATTTTATAGCAATTCGAGTGACCAAACTTGCAATTAAGCCACCCAAGATTATTACAAGATGGAATCCAATGACACTTTTCAATGGAAACAAACAGAACACGTACCGTGCAAAATAGGACTCCAACATTTAGGTATAATTACAGTATGCCTGTAAACACAATGGGCCCAACCTTCTCTTGCATTCATGATACCGATTATAAATACCCAGAAGTCAATCCCCGGCTCCAATATCCATATGCAAATTTAAAGCGGTTGCCTTCAACAAGATCACTGGTTTTTCATACATTAGCTTAGTCTAAGAACAACACCAAGTCGTGATGAGGCTTCAGTAACCTCAGTCCTATGCGCACACAGAGTACGTTAACAACACCATAATACCGACATAACTTTGAAAGAGCATCTGGCATTTTAGAACTTTTCACTCGCATAAACCACTGCAAAAAAGCATGTCATTAGTGACAAAAATAAGTGATGGCCGATCAATTTCGTCGCTAATAATCACTTTTAGGGACGATATTCCTCTTTCGTCAATAATGTTTCGTCAACGGGTTATGTATTTGGACAAAGCATAGACATTGTCGTTAAAGATAATAATCTTTGTCACTAACTCTACTTTTTGGAGGGCGAAATTGGCGCCATGGTTATTTGCTACAAATAAAATTTGGTCGTCGATAATGTTTCGTCAAAACATTGTGTTTTGCGACAAAGCTTAGACGTCGTCAGTAAAGACTGCTATTAGTGACAAAATTAGCGAGGGCCGATCAATGTCGTCGCTAAAATCACTTATAGGGACTATATTCCTCTTTCGACAATAATGTTTCGTAATGATTTCTGTATTTGTGACAAAGAATAGATTTTGTCGGTAAAGATAGCTATTAGTGACAAAAACTAGTGACGACCGATTAATTTCATAACTAAAAAGTACTTGAAGGGATAATATTCCACTTTCCTCAATCATGTTTTGTTAGCGAGTTATGTATTTGTGAGAAAGCGTAAATGTAGTTGATAAAGATAGCTATTAATCACAAAAATTAGCGAGGACCGGTCAATTTTGTCACTATACATTACTTTTAGGGATGATATTTCATTTTCATCAATAATATTTCATTAACGAGTCATGTAATCAAGCATCGAACCCAAGAAATGTGACCCTAAACGTGCTGAAATCAAGCATTTCTCGATTTGAGGTCCCTGGGTGAAGAAAACATGAATAGTGTCGAATCTTCGTTCGAGATTTCTGAAGGCTTCGAGTGTCGGAATTGGAGTTTATTGGGATTATTCCTTTTAAGATGACATTGTAGCGTAAGTGGTAAGTGGATAGATTGATGCAGAAGGTTGGCGGTTTGGAGGAAGGACTTAGGGTTTAGGAGGGGTAAAGTCAGCGGCGGATCCAGGATGTAGAAGTGCACTGGGCCGGATTCGAACATAAAATTAGATACCGTAAACAAAAAAAAATTATAGTTTGCATTACAATGTCAATTGTACACGACGGTCTTTTAATTTAGCAAATTCGTCAATAATTGAGTCTTCATCCATACCAATAACATACTCTCTCTCAAAGCAAATTATAGTTTCAGATTCCTTACGTTGATAGTAAGAAAACAATGTTGTTTTCGCCTTTTTATTTGGTGGTTGAGAAGATGTCATGATGAAATATCTTGAAATCTGCATAACCAATTAAACATGTACACAACGCAGTCAAACACTAAATTCTAAGTAAATTTGGATACAAATATATATGATATATGAGAAATCCTAATACTAAATTCTATGTTAATGGCTTAATGCATAATTGCACTGTACAAACTTAATTTCTAAGTAAATAACCCTAACTAACTAAACTAAGACAATAAGAACAATTGGCAAATTGCAAAATTGCAATTACCTGTGGGTTGTGGGCCTGTGGCTGTTGGCTGTGGCTGTTGTCTTTTACTCACTACTGTGAAGGGAGTGGCCGGAACTTGATTAGCGCCGCTGCGGAAGGGGATCTCCGGCGTTGGGTAAGGGTCTCGGGGAGGCAGGGAAAAGGGAACAGACGTCTGTTCGTCTTCCTTTTCTTTGATTTTTTGTCCCAATCCCAAACTTGCAGGGAAAGGAGAAGAGGAATAGGGCTGGGTCTTTGTTTTGGGATTTTATTGGGCTGGTTGGGGCTGGGTCTTGGGGCTGGGCCCAAATAATTGTGCATGGCTGGGTAGCCTGGGTTGGGTCTTGGGGGGGGGGGGCAGGGAGGGCTGGGCCCGGGCCCAGTGTGGCCCCCCCTGTATCCGCCGATGGGTAAAGTATAGTAGCTAATAATTAAGGTGATATCAGCATTTTGAATTTTTTATCAAATAATTCTAATACAACCACAACTTAAAGAGCATTATAAAACATATGTTTTTAACCAAAATTGAGAAACCCTTATCAATATCTTATACCCTAAACATCAATACCTTATTCCCTAATGATAAATTGTTTGATTCATGAACATATGTTAAAACAAAATTAATCTTATGAGTTATGATTTTGTTAATTAATATATTTTGTCATGACTTTAATTGTAAACTCTAATCAAAATCATAACCATATACCCTATAACATCACCATCATCATTACATTGTATCCTAACCACTAAACCACATCTACCTACCCATACATACCCGCCCGCCCAAATTTTGCCCAGCCCTCCCAAATTTTGCCTAGCCCGCCAATATCTCCCCCTTCTCCAATTGAAATAATTCTCCCAAAAAATTATGAGCCACCACTTTAATTTTCCCCACTACGCAGTTGCCTCTTCTTCTTCCTTAAGTTTTTCTTCTCCTTAGCAAACATATCCAACGACTGTCGCTACTCCTCCTCCCTCTGTACCCCTCCTTTTCTTTCAACTCATGCATCCTTCTTCCAGCCACCGACCCGTTGCTCGCCTATTTCCCACTGCATGCGATATTTTCCCTCTGATTCTGTATTTGTTTTCTGTGTTGCAGGTATTGATACTAATCTATAGACAACATCGACAGGGAGGAGCGGCGGCGGGTTGATTGTTGTAATGTTTGTGGTGAGGTGCGTCGGTAGTTGTCCGATCTGGGAGGAGCGGCGGAGATCGATGGGCACAAGGGTTTTGATTTGCCTTCCCCTGAGTTTTTAGGGTTTTCTACTGGAAGTAGAGGTGAAGAAATTTTTCGCTGTTCCTTGTGTTTACGAAGAAGTCTTGCGATAATTGATTTCGATTCTGGGTATTTGGTTTTTTTAGCTTACGTTTTAGGTTTTCTGGTGAAGGGAGCTGGAGATTCTGGCGATTATGGCTTCTGGAAAAGGGATCGAGCTGGGCATAATGGGTGCAGGAGAAAGAAGTTGGCGCCTCAATTGGAGGAGAGCTCGGCGGCGACCATTTTGAGGCTTGAAGATCAACGATGCTCATCTGTAACTAGCCGGTGAAGCTGCTACAGGGCAGGATCGACGATCCAAATCCGGGGAATCAGATCTCTCTGTAGCCGATCGGAAGAGAATCAAGCACCTAGTTTTACACGTGGTGATTGTCATTTTTTTTTTGCAGCAATCGGTCAATTTTTCGAGTTGATTGGGTTATAGGGTCTGTTTGATTTGGCTTTCTGGGTTTTAAATAAGTAGAAGAAGCAGGGCAAGGGTTCTGAATTTCGTTTGTTTGGCTTTCTCGGTTCTTGAACAAGAGGAAGAAACAAAACATAGGTAAGTTTTGTCTTTCTATATTATTCAAAAAGAATAAACAAATCATTGAACATGGGTTTACGTTTGTTTTGTATTTATGTTCTAGAGTTATGGGGTTCATTTTGTTTTGGCTTCCTTTATAACCTTGTTAAGTTTGTGTTGTGCTCTTAGATGGGAAGTGAGGAAGTCTAGTAAAGTTGGAAAGGCTGGAAATAAACGCAAGCATCACGAGAGGGTGAATGAAAGTAGTGAAGAAGAAGATTCAGATGACAATTAAGGGTACGACTCAGATGATCAAGAAAAGAGCAATCAAGATTGATATTTTGCTTTTTTTTGGACTTGGTGTACTTGTATTTCATATTTCTATATTTTGTATTTATCAATATTGGTCATTCAAAATATTCGTTATTTATAATATTTAGAATGTTAAAACTTTCAGATTTCATGATTTTCAGCAATATATTTTATTCTTTGTCACAAATCTAAATATTTACGACAAACACATTTCATCAGAAAAAAGTGATAACGATACATTCATAGTAAATATAATGTATGACAATGTTCAATGGTTACTAATACCATTAAACATCGTCCAATTTTTTTTTTATTATCGATCATATTATTTCTTTAGCGACGAGTATGTGCCGTCAAACTAAAATGACAATGTTGTCAATCTTCGTCACAAAAGCAAAGCTGTGTATTTCGTCAATTTGAAGACACATTAGAGATGACGCCTACCCATCGCAAAAAAGCTTTTACGACAGCTCGTCACGAAGAAAGTTTTTGTGACGCCAGTATATGGAACGGCGTGCGACGACCTCATGGCGTCGCAAAGTGCATTTGTGACGACAGTTGGCCTTTACCGACGAAAACCTCTTGTCACTAGTGATAGTCTTTTTTGTAGTGAACGTAGTTGTAAATACCCATTGAATATCAAACTTTTAGAAAGAGAAACCATATGGTCTCACAGTAGTAGTACAAGAACAAGTAAAATATGTGAACTTTGAGACTCTCCATCGCCATGAACCTCTAGCTATTTAGTGCCCACATTATAGACAGGGCAGAAAAAGCATGAGGACCAAAGTAGGGGCTAGACCTTGAAAATATATCTCAATGTCTAGTACTTACGAATCTGAATAATGTTTGAATCAACTATACAAAGACATAAGACTAAGGCTATTCAAAGCTTCTTTCTAGACCATAATAGAACTTTCGATATAAAATTTGCCAAAACAAGCACTGTGACCGGTGGCCAGGAGAGTGACGTTCAATTTGGTGCAAAAAACAGACGAGCACTAGGTGTACTACCCTTTCAAATGCTGTTACCTATAGGTTTCTAGGGAATACCAAATCATTAACAAGTTTGTGAAGTTAAACTATCCAAAGGTTGGTTGAACAATGAAAGCAATCATTATATGGAGTTGTAGCTTGGGGAAGGTGAGCAAAAACAGATATCAACTTCAAGAATTTCAATCTATCATAGAAGATAATGGATCAACAGGCAACAATATTAACAACACTATAATACCAATTGGCAAAAAGATGATACAAAACCGCCACCCGACGAGCCCAAAGAGCCACCCGACGAGCTGGTGCAGGTCGAGTTGGATGGGCCCCGTTGATCAAACCGTATACCAAAGCCCAATTTGCGGTTCATCGCTGGCGAGTAGTTGGATTAGTAGGTCTATTTCATTGTTGTAGGGAAGTTGGTTTCTCATTCCTTTTCTATGTAAGATTGTTGTTTCTTTTCTCGCAAGTTATTTCCTTGGTTGTAGCTCTATAAATTACATTGATTAGTGGTAATAAAGAGTAGTTGGATTAGCATTCTCTTTCTTAGTTTGTAGAAACCCTACTATCATGCATCAATTGGTATTAGAGCCTGGTTCGATAGAACCGAGCTCTGCACCGCTCCCAGGACACGTGCATATGACCATGGGACGCGCTTGTCACAACGCTACGACAGTGAATTGCAAAACCCTTGAACCGCAAGGACAACCACCAGAGCCACTCGACGCTGAAGTTTCGCTGTTCGCCCTCACCGGAGTCTCGAACACAAAAACCATCCGCCTTGCTGTCAAACTACAACAGGAAGCCCTAGTCGCCTTGGTTGATAGCGGGTCGTTACACAACTTTATCAACATCGACGTCGCAAAGGGACTTGCCTTACCTTCATCACCAGTTCCTCCGTTCAGCGTCAAGGTAGCCAACAAGGATTAACTGTTATGTGAAAGGTTCTACGAAGGAGTCGTCCTCGACATCCATGACGAGCAAATAAGGGTGGACCTCTATGAGTTACCCGTCAAAGGAATCAACTTGGTTTTAGGGGTGCAATGGTTGAGACAACTTAGCCCTATTACCATCGACTGGCAACAACTTACCCTACACTTCAAAAATGAAGGATGTTGGGTCACTCTTTAAGGGATCGCCCGGCCATTGTTCGGTATAATTGTCCCCAGCTCATTCGGCCAAGGGAGGTAGCTGTTTGGGTCTTTGGTGTTCCGGAGTCGATAGGAGTTGTCAATTCGTCCCCAGCAGAACTACAAAATCTTTTGGACGGCTTCAACGATATATTTGAAGCACCACTAGCCTACCACCGGTTCGTCCGATCGACCACCAAAGTGGGCACCAAAGCGGTTAATGTGAGACCCTACCTCTACGCGCACTTCCAGAAAGAAGAGATCGAGAGACAGGTTAGCGAGATGCTAAAGTTGGGACTCATTCCACCTAGCTCGAGTCCATTTTCATCTCCGGTTCTGCTAGTCAAGAAGAAGGATGAGACGTGGCGGTTTTGTACTGATTATCGAGCTCTGAATAAAGCAACCATTAAAGATCGCTTCCCTATTCCCATGGTGGATGACATGCTCGACGAACTCCATGGCTCCAGGTACTTCTCGAAGCTTGACTTGCGTGCCAGTTACCATCAAATTTGGATGCGCAAGGAGGACGTACATAAGACCGCTTTCAGGACTCATAACGGCCACTACGAGTATCTTGTTATGTAGTTAGGCCTTTGCAATGCACCTTTTATGTTCCAGTCAACAATGAACGATATTTTTCGACCCATTCTCCACAAGTATGTACTAGTTTTCTTCGATGATATCTTGATTTACAGCAAGGATTGGGCTACGCACCTCACGCACCTAAAGACGATATTGGAAATTTTCGTCGACATCAGTACTATCTTAAGGGGTCCAAGTGTGCTTTTGGGTTGCAGCGATTGGAGTATTTGGGTCACATTATTTCATCAAAGGGGTACATGTGGACGATTGGCGACTGTTGAATCTAGTTGGCGAGTATTATCTCCTCCACTGACAATATTACGACGGCTGACCTCTACCGATAAACGGTGACGAATGACGACCCTCCGACCTCCGCTCCTCCTCCGCAGGTGCATGGAGAAACTTCGGATTGCGCACTGTAGATAGTGAGTTGGTGCAACGACACTGGGGCAGGTTCGATAGATGAAAAAGGAACTACTTGTGCTAGAAGCCTCGTACTTGACCACCATTGGAAGATGAGGAAGAGCAAGCAAGTTTGGCATCAACTTTGGGAAATAACGACGAGGATAGGGGAGATTAACAGTGTTGAAGTTTGCTACAAGGTTGAGGGCAAGGTTGGTCTTCAGAGGGAGGGATTGATGGAGACTCGGTTTTTTAATGAGACATTGTCTTCCATTAATTATTATTATGATTATTATTGGGTCAGAGTGGTGTACTCCTGGAGTTTACTATACTCCAGGAACTCTTAGCGAGATATCTCTATCTAGACCATGAATTAAATCGAGTTTGGGGCATGATACTATACCCTAACCTCTAATGGATAAACCCCAGCCCCCGATTCTCTAATATTAAACTAGAAGTTTAATTTAATAATAAATATTAATTCACCGTTGAGATTGGTCGAAACTCAAAAAAGGAGATCTAACGGTCAGATCACCTGGAGTATACTGTACTTCTGGAGTATACCACTCATTACCTATTAATATTATATATCTTAGTAGTATTTTAGTTGTATTAGGTTTCAATATTTTCCTGTAAGTATGTAATTTTGGTTTTCATTTAGAATCAATCAAGAGGTAATCATAATAGTTCAGTTTATTGAGGAAGAACAAGAATAGAAGACATGCGACCTTTAGAAGAGAGAGTCGAGATTTCAGAGGATATGGAAATTAGGGTTTGAGATACATTTATGTAATATTCTTCTTAATTGATTGGATTTGAATGAAAACTCAAGTACGTATTATATTCTATAAAAGTACATATTTATAGAAAATTTAAAACAAAAAAAATATTAACAATGGTCGACGAGCCAAACATAAGGCAATCTAAAAGAACGATAACGTAACCTTGCAAATCAGATCAAATGATCTTATATCCTAAATTGTTCCTACATATGACTAAGGCTAAAACAAACACACAACCACCAACAATAATCCCCTTACGATTCTCAGAGCCTAATAGAAAAGCTATAACTAAGCGGAACGAGCCCATTAGATTCACGCACAAACTTCATTTGCTACTACTGGTTAGCATTAACAAAGGAACTAAGTTGCGCAAGGGACAAACTTCAATAGTAAACCCCCTATATGTTTCAAGCTCCCCACAACCTTTTAGATGAAAAACATATCATTCTCAAGGTCAGCATGCAACCTGTAGAACCTATCATCTAATGATGTCGACGACGATGTTGAAGATGATGTCGTCGAAGAAATCGTCGATCCCACAGAAGCAGGCGAGTGGCCCTCCACAACAGCCTCATAGTACAACCTGCCCCTGTAAGCAACTAGATCAGCATAGTAAACTGGAGGCACCAAAGACACGGGCTTGGTGCATCGAGCGAATGTGAAACACAAGTTGTATGTGAGCTTCTGCAATTGATCAGAGGTGAAACCATGCTCGTCCCACAAGACATGGTAGTGTGTCGGCTTGCTCGTTCCAAGGCTTCCGTAGTGGCTGCAGAGGTAGAAATCAAACTCGGATGGATGAACAATCTTAGTGTCCACAACTGTTCCTGGAGACACATTGCCTGTAAACCCACCATCCCTCTGGCTCTCAGGGAACAACCGTGTATGATGCCGCTTCTGAGCTATGATCACAGTGACAGTAGGGTTGTAATTGATGGAATGAAATGCCCTTTTGAGGTCCAACAATTCTTCATTTAGAACCATCTCAAATTGTCCCTCACTAACCCCATCTCGGAAGATGATGATCTTCTGTGGCTTCACCTTGTTGATACGAGCATAGCTCTCGACAAGCTCCAAGCACATATCACCAAAGTTCATAATCTTTTCGACGCGATTGCATTGTGGACGAACACGTGCTGCATAACGATTGGCAGCAGGCCAATTCATGGTGGCAACAACGGCTGATATTGATGGACTTGTAGTGTTTCTTGAAGCAGGATGATTCACATCAGCCCCTACAAACATGACTTTCCCCCCACCTTCTAAGAATCTGAACCGGTCGAAAAGCTCTGTGTTGCTGCCTCCCAACTTTGCATTGATCTTGAGGGCAAGGTTAGCAAGATATTGATCACTGCCCTCGTTGGCATGATAAGCAAGGCAACATTGAGTCACCAGACCAACTCTGGTCTCGCAAATCCACTTGAGATTCTTATAACCAGGATGCTTGCCCGACATCACACACACAAGAATCTGCAACCTAGCATGAGAAAGTTCGTAAGCTTGATCGTTCAAGCTTTCAAGCAGTTCATGAAGTGCGTCAGTGTTCGAGAACATGTGCATGCTCGAAGCTTCACAGAAGAGGGGATCCGCCATTGGCATGCCGAGATTCTTGCAGCGAGCAATGAGACTAGAGATGAATTGTGTCGGGTTCAACCTCTGTCGATCAGCTGCGCTAAAATCAACAATGGCCCACCGATCAATTGATTTGCCATCAACCACTCTTTTCCCGACCAGATTCCATTGACATTTCTCCTTGTCCACTGGTACTCTAATGGCAGCGCCACTATTGTTGCAAAGCTTCAACTCTGGTGGACCAATTACTCGTCCAACCACTGAAGTCATGTTGGTGTCGACTTCCATCCCAAAATTGCTGATAATGTCACCACTGCGAATAATACACAAGTGAATAGAACATTTGAGCGTACAAAAATGGAAGTTTCAGACATTAAAAATGAAGATAAAGAGGTAGTGAAACACACCTGCAAGGTCCATCTATGCCTCGAACCATATTGTTTATGGTACTCTCTCTGACATCTGGCCTTGCCAGAGACATCCTCTTCAAGAAAATGGCGGCCTTTTTATCCAACTGCTCTTTAGGGTATATCTGCCCCTCAACCAGGACACAAAGTTCCATAGGTACATAGTTCTTCCTGTCGCCCTTCCCTAGTTCGAGGCAAGGAATGTCCTTGTACACAATATCCTTCTGGTACTTGTGCCAGAAATATTCAACCAGACCAATCTCTGTAGGAGAAGAAGCATTAGCAGCATCTAAGTCTTCGATTAAGAACGTCAAGCGTCGTGCATTTTCCTTGGTCAATCCTGATACCGTAAACTTCTGTTTAGTGATCCTATGAGTGACAGTAACTTTCAGCCCCTTGAGTGCTCTCTCAGCATCTCTCCTAAACCTTCTGAAGTCATTGAAATTGATCCCTTGGATGTGCTCTTTAAGAAAATCTAGAATTGGAAGCCTTTTGCGAAATGCAAGCACAGAGTAGTCCAAGCACATGGTAAGACCTTGAAATGTGGGCTTGAGGCTGTTCTGGAAACCCCTCGAAGCCCTGATCCCATGCCCAAGTTCGTCATCAGGATGACTGTTTCGCGAATGGAAAGTACGTCCTGCAGAGATCATAGACCTAGCTGGATTCTCCTTCATCACCACGTCCATCCCTTGCAATACCTCCCGCGGTATGGAGAAGAGATTACCTGTCAGGTAATCCTTCAACCTACACAGCTTGAGCTCGTTAACAAGCTTGATACTGAAGATGTAAGCCCTAGGACAGATATCCTCACCATCAGGAAGTTCAACCTTGAAATGTCCAGTGGGCAGAGGAACTGCACTGAAGATGTTCTTCTCGCCATCGTATGCAGTCATCGACAAGGGGAAATGACGAGGATCATCGCTGAATAACTTGTCCCTGATCATTCTGAGATTCGATTTCGACAACCTGAGGGCACGGCCATCTTTCTGGACCTCCTCTGGCTTCACTTCAACATCGTAGTGTCTTATGGTACCCTCAGGATTGAACCTGACAGGAAAGTGATTCACTCGAAGCTTAGCGTTCTTAATAGTCAGTGTGCCACCTCGGTCTGGTCGGTTAAGTGGAACAATTTTTTCATCAGGTGAAGTAAAAGAATCGTCCAACTGGTCTGACAGTGTCATCCATTTCATGCTTAGAATATCTCTATCTGCGAAGCAAAAGCAAAACGAAAACATGAACTTCCTCACAAAATGGCTCCAAATAAATAGCACCCCAACTTGTCATTACTCATCAGGTCATATTTGCTCGTTTATTGGGCTAAAGAAAGATCCAACAAGTTAATATTGCTTTTTAGCTCAAAGTTGGGAAACAATTGAAAAAGCAAAAAACAGTCACCCATCACAACACTACACAAATTGATACAAACTTGCCAATTTTACTAGGAAGGAAGAATACGTTTGCTTGTGTTTAATACAAACCACAATTTCAAATTATTAGAAAATATAGACAAATTTTTTCGGTGGCGTTTGAGTTGAGTCAAGATGTGGTTGTGGGTGGAGAATGGATTATAGTGAACTCTATTCTACAATCATTATGGTCAACCAGTATATGTGGAGCTCAGCTCATAGAGACAGGGAGAGATGCTTATTACTCGATGAAAATGTGGAAATGCAATGTCACTTGAGCAGGATTATAAGACGCACTCAATGGTCTCTGGTTAGCATGAGACATAGGACATGAGAAAGTCGATACGCAATAAACTTGACTCCAGCCATTCATCTACTTTACTTTTAATGAATTGAATGCTCTAGTTGACAATCAACCTGTTGGTCTTGTCTTGCCATTCCGTGAGCTTCAAACTAGGAATTGAAAGACTAGAGTTACTCAAATCGATTGAGAAGTCAGTTTTTTAACTGATTATCTGACATACAGACTATACATCTCGGGGTCACACTCCAAATCTCGAAAAATGCTCTCCAAAATCCAAAACTTATTATTGCCTACCTATTAGCTTTTGTACGACTCTGTTAACAGGTTTATCCTCCGTTCAACTTATAATCAAAATATAATGATGCTTTAAACCCCCGTTTTTTTTTTACCCTTCTTTCTACACATCAACATCCTTATCTGCCACCTCAAACTCAATGTCGATATTCCCAATCCCAAACATAAGCAACAACGACCAAAATTTGACTGAGAACACCACAGAATAACCGCATACCTTGGAGCCGCTCCTGCAATGGAGTCGCGGCGGCGTCAGGAGCGTTGTCCGCCTCGCACTTTTCCTTCCTCTGCCTCCTTCTACCTCTCCCTCTGCCGTTCCTCCCCCTTCCCCTGCCTCTCCCATCCTCGCAGCCGCCACTCGCCGGCGGCAATCCTCCTCCTCCCCTGCCGTCAGCAGGAACAAAATTCCCCTGAATCCGACGACCAACATCGTCACACATAAAACCCCACCGCGGGTTCTCGTCCTTTTCCGGTAATCCGCACCTCTCCCTCTGCCTGCGCCTTCCCCTGCCTCCCCTTCCGCCTCCCAATTTCTGCTGAAGCTCTTGATCACGCTCCATTGCAGCCGCTATATACTTACACGTAAACGCCGCTTCCGCCGCCGCCGCAATCCGGCAAAAACAGAGAGCACCAGAAGAGTACGAGACTAGGAAACACAGAGGCGTGCACCGGTTTGGAGACGAGGGAATAAACAGGGGGGGCGGGGTTTTATATAGCCACAGACGGCAGAGATCCCGCCCAATCCAACGGCAGTTAAGCTAACTACAAAATTGTTCTTGACTGCGTCTAACTCACTGGGTAGGGGACAATTTTTTTAAAGCCCTCCACTCCACTAGTTATAAATTAAAGAGTAAAAATATATATATATATAATTGGACTGATATTAATTATACGGAGAAGCCGAGGCAGGGGAGGAGAATTGTTAAAAACCTGCCGATGATACCGATGGCAGGTCGGGTTCGGGAAAAAGGTTTGAAGTAGACGATAATCGTGTTTTGTGGGTAAAAGTTGGGTGACTGCCGACGGAGTTCTTCATGCAATTAGCCTCCTTTTTTTTTTTTTTCTTCCCGTTTTTTTGGTTGCTCTGTGTTCCGCGCCTGAATTCATTGGATCGTTGCATGGGACAGGGGACAAGGAGGATGGAGAGAGCGTGTGGGTTAGAAAAGCACAAGGAGGAAGATGACAAAGGAATCAGCCTGACGGTTTCAAACACACGTACGGTCAGCCCTGGGAGAAGGAAGTTTGGTTTAGGTAATGGGACAAGGGGAATTTCGTTCCACTGCTCAATTGGTTGAGGATGAACACCAACGCGGTGTGTGTGACGGAGAAGAGATGTGATCGAGTAACAACAAGGAGAGCGTGGAGATCAAGTAAATATTGCAGCATTATAACCCTAGAATTTGAAGTAGAATTGGAATCTTGAAGTATTGTGTCGGCATGGTACTAGGAGTAACCAAGAATCCTCCGATTAGGGGAAAAAAGAAGACTGATATAACAATATCGATTATCAATGAACATACATCTTCTTATGTTACACTTCCACCTATAGCTCTAATAGTTTGAGGGAGTCGTAATGGTGGTGGCAATAAACACTTCTGGTGTGTATTACGATGGACTTAATTTTGTTAATTAGTACTGTTGGGGATATTGTCAAGGCCTAGTCCAAGAGGAAGAACACAAGAGGAAGAGGTAGAAACCATCATGGTGATGCCTCCAATCTCCTTTGAGCTTGTGTTGATCTTCTCTTGGGGAGAATCTTCCCAATCCACCAGTTGGAGCAAACCCTAGCCTTTTTTCTTACTTGGTTAGTTCTTTCTCTCTCTCTAAAATCTGAAGAAGAAGATACTTTCTCACTATTGGGCTCCCCCTTCTCTCTTCCTTTCAGCTCACACCATATACCAGGATCGGGCTTAGTTCACGGCTGTGAACTCTTCAACGCGTCCTTGAACACAGAGCGAGATGTCGAAAGGCACCGCTTCGCCATAATGAGTTCACGGTTTGTCCTCAATCTTCACGGTTTTGTTGACCGTGAACTCGTCCCGCGGTAGTAACTGCAGATTTCTCCCTGGATGCATCGCGGTTCACGGTTTTGGGCTTCCATTCACAACCATAGTGGACCGTGAACTCCCATGCTAACCCGTGAAATCCGCCTGGATCACCCTCTTTGGCCGGTCTTCGCCTTCGTCCAACTCTCGACTCCGAGGCTGGTTTCACCTGTTGGATCCCCAAACACACTAAAACGCACAAAACCTAGCGTAAAATCACCCTTTTAGGAGTCCAAATGCTACAAACGCCCAAGGGACACGGGGATAAAATGTGTGCAATTAGTCCCGAATCACTCCCCCACACTTAGACGTTTCCTTGTCCCTAAACAAACCATTTCACACAAGGTAAAAAACTCAACCTATCAAAATGCTTTGGGGACAATTCAAAGGGCACAAAGTGGCTAATCTCAAATGGCTATTGGCAATTAACAAAAGGACCGTTGCAAGCAATACCGACATCCACCACAAATGACATTTGAGGCTACTAGAAACGGGCAAATGAAAAGCTCTCACATTGTTCATAAATCAATGCAAGTTTCAACTAGATCACTTACCAACCACAACTAACCATGCATAGAGTTCAAGTCCAAGGAACAAACGGATGGGCAACAAAGGTCCTCGCTGGGGTATGATATGACATGCAAAACAAGAATGAATCACTCACTCTCTTGACCAGTGGGGTCGAGACCTTTTGGTGCAAAAAATGTGCACAATCATCAACTCTCGACCCTATCGTCTCAACACCACGGCGACAACCTCTAAATGCTAGAGTTCACGGAATGGTTGTCATCACTAGCTTGTCCGGAGGTCTTAGACACGTGTTCAAATGACCGGCGATTGTCTTGGACATGGGGAAAAGGCCATTTGGGTGGTGGCAAGAACATCATGAGGTCCTACATCTTCACCCTAAAACCGAAGGTTCTATGGTTTCGACTAAGAACCTTCCTCACAAACAACGACCACTAGCATCGGCCAAAAACCTTGCTTCTCCCTTCCAAACTATCAACCATCATGAACTTCCCTTAAACACTCTTCCTCGGTCCACTCTTGCTATCACACTTTGATTTGGTAGCAAAGGAGTTCTAAGACAATGTGGAGGTTTCAATGGCTTGTGTGCCAAGAAACCTCACCTAGAGCATACTCTTTGATTTCTTGTGGCACTCTCTACTTTATTTACCCCGTTTTATTACCTCTTTTTCGTTTCTTTTTGAGGGGGGTACTACAGAGTTAAACATTTGCCACACTACTTTTAACGATCAATGCTCTCTTTTTAAGAACTCACTCCAACACTACTCTTCCTTTCACTTTCGATCCTAGCAAGAACCGCACACAATCCTCCTATGTAGAACCTCAATGGAGCTCAAAAGTGAGAGCTCCGGGACACAAGGACGAGTACGACACATGTATAGACACGAAGAAAGGATGGGAGGGGGGTCGTTCTATTGCACCATTAAGCTCACAAGGAAAACACTCCTATCAAGAGAACGACCCCCAAAGTCACAAGGCTCAAAGGGGTTGACTAGTGGATAATTCATTTCGGGACAATCAACATTTGGGCGTGGACTAATCCTATGCCTCTATCATACTCACTAGTGTCAATTGTGATGTTACTCGCCATGGTAAGAGGGATCTAAGCACACAAGAAGAAAACGATCGGCTCAAAGCTCACATGGCTACCTAGTCACCCAACCATCTATTCCAATTCACAAAGCAACATGCATGGCAATTGTAATCAATAAGTAATCGAGTCAAAACATCCAATCATTTTTGCACACATGAGAACTAAACCTTTGCACTATCCTAGTGCACCTCTCAATCATCATCATAGGACATACTCGATCACATGCAACAATTCAAGGTCAATGCCAATAACCACAAGATTCTCCTACAAACCGACCACTTTGATCATGCAAACATTGCTTGGAGCCCGCAAAATTTTCAAATTTGGGCATAAATCAAGGCTCCAAGCATCAATCACACTCACACAAGCATAAAAGTAGACTACCTCCCACACTTAATCTCGACATTTCCCTCAATGGCCTAAGATAGGAGTAGAATGACGTTACCGCTTTGCTTGGTGAGTGAAAGTTTGAATTGTTTCCGGGGTAGGAGATTTGGAGCTTCAAGGAAAAGACAAAAACATACACATACAAACACAATACGACTAGCTCAAGGCGAGGTTATTA